TTCATCTCCAGAATTAAGGATTATTTTGATGTTACATCATTGCCTTTTCTCTTTTACTTTCCTTTTTAGTTTTATTTTAGGATTCCCTATTTTTAATATTCATACAGAGATTTCTTTAACTGAAATACCAAATAGTTTCTTTGGTGTGAAAAACTATAATAGTACACAGGATCCTAATGAGATAATTAATAATGTGAAATAGGAAGCAAAGGAATAAAGATGTAGGGAAAGTGGGAAGGGTGGAGGAAAGGTAATAAGGGAGAGGAAAAAAATATGAGAAACTGAAAAAATGGAAATAAAGTGTTTGTAAATGGGGAGGGGAGGAGGGGGTGAAGGGAGGACAGGGACAAGGGGAAAAATGAGAATCAAGACCTATTATGTAAAGGTACAGAATCCCAATGATGAATGTAACTGTATTTGTATACCTAGATTGTACCAATAACCTCAATAAAAACGAAAAAAAAAGTATATATAAGCTGGGGATTTAGCTCGGTGGTACTGTGCCTGCCTTGCAAGCACAAGGTCCTGAGTTCAATCCCGTTCAGTACCAGAAAAATTAAAATAAATACAAATGTTAAGAAAATAAATAAAAGCTTACATAAACAAGCAAGAAAAGTAAAATGGGAAACAGCTCAACTTGGAATTTTTTGCTTAAACCAAATCTTATTTAAAAGTGTAAACAAGCCAGGCATGGTGGAGCATGCCTGTAATCCAAGCACTCAGGAGGCTGAGACAGAGGGGTTGCCATTAGTTTGAGGTCAGCCTGGGCCACACAGTGAGTTCAAAACCAGCCTGGGCTACCTTTTGAGACCCTGTCTCAAAAACCCAACAAACAAACAAACAAATAGAAGTTTAAACAAGTAAGTTTAAACAGGAAGCGGCGAGTAGATTTGGTTATGAAGATGGGAAGTCAGGAGCTGCACCTCTTACCTCCTCACCTCCTCACATATTCCCCCATTTTTAGGCTGATCGCTTTTAGGAAGATATACGTGTGAAAGTTGAGCTCTGCATTTAGATTTAGCTAATGCTGTCCTTGTTTTTGTATGCCTGGGGAAGCCAAGATTTCTGCTGTACACTTGTAGTGATTCTTTGGGGTATTGAGTAGAATATTGTAGTAGTAAGTGCTGGTGCTACAAGAGACCCAGGGAAAACAGAGTGGGTTCAAATAGCCACTGAGGGAATTGCAAGCGAATAAACATCAAGCACCATAAATCATAATATTATGATATTCTCAGTGTTTGATCACAGGTCCTGCAGAGTCAGCTGATTAGTGCTCCAGGTTATAAGCGCACAAAACATGCCTACTTATCAAAGTCAATATTCACAAACTCCTAGATGGAAATTTACTTCCTATTGCTATTGAGTATGACACATGGGTTCTGAAAGGGATATTTTTGGGTAATAATGATAGCTATATTGGTGTGCTTAGTGTTTTTCCTATATGTATATTAAGAAGGCACCTTAAAGGAAAAAATAATAGCAGCATGAAGTAGTTACTCAATAAATTCTTGTTATGAAGGAAGAAATGAGCTCTGTCCTCTGGCTTGTTACTGGGGCCATCTGTGGAAGGGTTTAGAAGCAGAACAGTGAGAAACCAAGAAGAAGCAGAAGGCTTGTGCCTTCCTTCTGGTGGAAACAGATAAAATTATCCCATCTAACAATTCCTAAGTGAATTTTTTTGGCCATGTTTGTTGTATACAGATACTGTACTAAAAATAAGTTTTTTGTTTTTGTTTTTTCCTTGTTTCAGGCCAACTGCCTAAAAGCCATTTGGAATCTGAGATTCCAGGGAGTGGTCCTCGGAGCTGCCCAACTTCTCTGGCTTGGTGCCTTCATCTCTGGTAAGCTTTAGGCTAACTCTTCACCAGGCCCTGAATCATTAGGGTAGGGCCCAGAGCAAATGGGAATAATTGAGGATTACAGCCAATTGTGAGGCATGGAAAACTGTCCGAGCCCAGATTCCTGAAACAAAAACACACTGGACACCATCATGCTCCTAGAACTGAACTGGCTCAGAACTGAACTACAGTATACAGGACCGCAGTAGGCACAGACATGCGATGCTTTTAGAGACCCACATTTATGTCTGAATTTCTTTAAAATAATTTCTTTGAGGTCAAAGAGGATGTTGTAATAAATCATTTTAATACATCCATCTTTATATTACCCACATCCATCAAAGTCCTAATGCAGTGCTGGCCACATCTGAATGCAATCTTGAGGTACAATGCCACAAACTTATCAGGGAGGAAGGTAGAAATATGAGTGATCCCCCCATACAAGCAACAAAGCAGAGGGCCGAAATGAGGCTTTATAAACAGGAAAGAGGGCCTTTTCCAGGCCTGATTGCTCGCCTTGTACTTCTCTTGACTTGCAAACTGGCCTTCCTTTCCCTGGTGAGGCCCCACAAGCTACAATAATAACATTCCGGTGCCTTTACATCTCTGAAGGGCACATTCTCTACTTCATTTGATATCACAAACGCTTTGGTAAAGAAGGGCCCATTCTAACAAGTGAGTAAGCAGGCACGCAGGAAGTGGAGTAATTTATCAAGGAGAAGCAGCCATGAGCATAAGACTAGGAATCAGATCTTCCTTCTAACTATGGCTCTGCTACAGCTTGCTGGGTGTCACTCATGCAGCAGATATTTACTGAATGTCTACTACGTGCCAAGCTCTCTGCCTGGTGCTAAGGACCCACATGTAAAAGGAGACCGTCAGGGATGGACAATCCAGCAGCTATGGACTGTATCACAGAACCAGGCCCTACGACAGATGGCAGTCCAGGAAGTGGAGGCACAACTTAGCACAGTGGGAACCCAGGAGAAGGAACCCCCGTTTCCCTGGGCAGGTCAAGGAGAGCAGGGGGAGAGGACACAGGGACAGCAGCAAGGCTACGTAAAAGGCAGGGAAGCAGGAGTTCTGTGGGACCAACAGTAAATCCCACCACGTCACATCATGCCTCAGCCAGCAGGATGTGCACCACACACCATCTTTCCCTCTGTGAAGAAGTCATACCCACACCAGACACTTTGTGTGCCATTACATTTGAGCTTGGGAAAGTTACTTAATATGTCTCCTCCATTCATCAGAGGAGAGGAGTAAACTCAGTGACTGCTAAGTTTCCTCCCAATTATAGCAGCTTTAAAAAAACAGTACACGTTTGAGATACACGAGAATTACACTTAGCTTGGGGACGTGGTTCATATACATATGGCCTCTCGAACTCTTTCACTCCCATTTTACCCACCTCTCTGGCCCGCTCCACCCTTCCTTGGATCCCTTTCCCACTTCCATAGTCTTTTCTTCCTTGTTTTTTCTCTCATAGCTCTTTTCTTTTGTTCGTTAAATTATTTATATCTTGGCTATCTCATATTAGAGAAACCAGGTGATATTTGACTTTGGGTGTCTGATTTATTTATTTAGTACTACGGTCCCAAGATGCATCTATTTTCCTACATATGATTCAACCTTTTTTATGGCTGAATAGTACTCTATTGCATAGATGTACCGTGTTTTCCTTATCCATTCATCTGCCCTTTCAACTCTAGTATTCTATGATTCCAAACCTTTAACATCAAGAATCTTCATAAAAGGACATTTTCCTATTCTGACTTTAAATATACTTCTCAATGACATGTGGAAACCATTCTTTTTACTGAGAATAACCACATTCAACCTAAGATAGTCATGTTTTTGGCATTCTACCTCTGGTCAGGAATTCCTCTGACACCACAGACTTGCGCTTAGGATCAGAGGCTCCTTCTGGGCAGGTTTGCTAAGGTGGTATTCATTTTCTCTGCTCTAGAGCTAGCTAACCAGAAGGAAGTGGCAGCATGGACCTATAATTACACCACAAAAGCATACTCGTGGAATTTCTCCCGGATGTTCTGCCAGAGGCACTTCACAGATTTAGTGGCCATCCAGAACAAAAATGAAATCGCCTACCTCAATGACGTCATACCGCCCTACAGCTCGTACTACTGGATTGGGATCCGAAAGATCAATAATACGTGGACCTGGGTGGGAACCAGAAAGCCTCTCACGGAGGAGGCACAGAACTGGGCTGACAATGAGCCCAACAACAAGGGGAACAACCAAGACTGCGTGGAGATGTACATCAAGAGGCTGGATGCCCCTGGCAAGTGGAATGACGAGCCCTGCTCCAAAAAGAAGCGAGCCTTGTGCTACACAGGTAGGGCCCTCTCTGCGGATTTGTGTCTGGTAAATGACAAGCCTGCCCCGGCTGCTGACACAGAGCGCTGAGGCAGGGACACGAAACCCATGTGTAACCTGTTCAGCAGCGTGACCGAGCTCCTTGCAGAATCTCACAGCAGGGTTAGGGGCGGCTGGTTGTTTAAACTAGAGGGGATTTCGAATATCACCCAGCCTTTGCTTCTCCTCTCACACCCGGTGAAATGGAGGCTCAGGATGTTCTAGCTTTGTAAGGCCACGGATCAGGGCAGAAACAAAGCAAGGACTCACTGCCTCAGTTTTAGATCTAGACTCTGGTGTCCAACCGTTGGCCACTTGGGCCACACTGGGCAGCATATAAAATGCTTAAGAGAGTTAATGTACATAAGTAACAAAACTTCCTTTTAAAATACTTTAACATTTTCAAAAAGGGTAAGTAGCCCATGGCCGCCAAATTGGACATGGCCAACGAGCTATTCCTCACCACTGTGAGTTGGCTGCTGATGCCATCTAATAGAAGGCAGGCTCGGTAAAACACAACGGTGTGTTCTCACACACCTCATTCACATATCTGGCACTGTGTGACTTTCCGCTCTTCCCCAAAGTCAGAGCGACCGTGAAAGGTGAACGTTTTGACTCTAAAACATCGAGACAGCCACAACAGCATAATTAAAGACACCGTAGGAAGGCTTCCAGAATCACTTCCAAAGGTGGCCAGAAAAATGGGCCGTACTTAAAAAGGGGGAATATTTTTTGGAGAGGCTAATGGCAATATGACTTTTACTGTCATAAGCTTTTACTGTAAATTTAAACATTCCCTGTATTTTTTAATCATACCTCATAAATTGGGAGGGAATTTAGCACTACCCTAAGCGACATGGCTGTAAATAACACCCACTGAATGCCAAGGTATTCCAGTGTTACTAGTTACTCTGTGCTCTTAGTTCATCTTGTTCTTGTATTACTGTTCAGTTAGTATTATCTGCATTCAACCCTCACAACAAGATCATCCTTTAGGCCCTCGTATTGCTCTTGTCCTGCTGATGCGGAAATGCTCACAGCTATTAAATACTCTTCTCCTGGTCCGAAGTTAGTTCTTGGTAAAGCCAGAGTCAAACTCATGTCGACTCCAAAGTTGGTGTTTTGAGCTCCACGCCACCACATTCTTTGCTCAACATTTTCATGAGACAATCTGACAACATGAACAGCAGTCAAAGGCTTTGCAGATCATTTTCAACAGCAAAACAGCCTCAGGTGCACTGAACTTTGGTGGGAGGGAGCAGTCCAGGATAGGGAAGCACTGATTCCCTTCTCTCCTGGGTCCAGGGCTGCAGACATGTGTGAGGGCCTGGTCTTCCTGCAGTCACAAGCCTTTGCCAGAGCTGAATGCATCTTCCTGATATTTCCTCTGGGGAGAGAGGGGCGGCCTTCCTTTCGTCCTACATGATGCTGCGGCTAGGGAGAATTTGGTCTTTCCTGAGCAAGAGAGTTCTGAGTACAGCACTCAGAGGCCTCTTTGACAAATCATCTTACAGCTTCCACACTCTACTATTTATGTTCTAAAGTCTTCGGGTTTTGCCATCCCAGGGGTGTGCAATAATACACAGTATTAAACTGAACAGAGCATAGAGTATTCTCCCTCATCTTTTCTTATCCAAGCCTTCTAGGTGAGGGAAACATCTCATGAATTCCTTGTGGTGTAGTCAGGTGTTATTTTGTAAATAATGTGTTCATATGTTAATTAATTAGTTAACTAAGAGCTATTTATAGGAGATGAACTCATTCTAAGGCTGGCTCTGACCTTTCCTGGGTTACATCTCCCTAGAACTAGCCCAACATGTGGCTGGGGCTTAATGCCCAGGAAATGACCACCTGGAAACGGTCCAGCCACCTACTCTCCCCCTGGCTCTGACTTCACAGATGAAAAAAACCAGTAAGAATATTTTCAGTGCATTCACAGTATCAGTTCTAATGCTAAACCTCTGCCCAATGTGTAGACACGCAACCAGTCTCTTGCAGGAAAGAAACCTGGACCTTCTCTACTCTGCTTCTCTGTGCCACAGACATAGCCAGGAGGGCCTGGCAGGTCAGCCAGGGACCGTACCACCTAAACATGACACATTTGGTAAAGTGACATGTTCAGACTATGAAACCTCTTCTCTTAAGACTGCTTGTTGTCCACCATGGCGAGGTCTAAGCCTCACCATCTGGCTTCTCTGTTCTTTCATTGTATGATGTTGGGCATAGATTTGAAGCCAGCAGAAAGTGGAAAGGATTAGGCCCTGACACTGGACAAGCTGGCCTCACAGAAGAAACTCGCTGAGTAGGCAGCAGAGCCAGGATTGAGACCTTAAGTGTGCATCCCCTGCTCCCATATCTGGTTCCTTACCTCTATGCAGCAACATCTGGCACGAGGCATAAATGCTCTTGGTTTGAAAACTACAACCCAAACGTACCACACAGAGGAGCTCCTGTGACCAGACAGCCTTTTGTAAGGGACACATCAGCTGTGGAGAGGACAATGCAGCTGTCTGTTGTCGGCCCAGCTCATTCCTGCCTGACAGGGGCTGAGCCTGTGCCTATCTCAGTAATGTCCATGGTTCTGACCCATCTGTACCTTTGCAGCCTCCTGCAAGGCCACATCCTGCAGCCAACAAGGGGAGTGCGTTGAGACCATCGGGAACTACACCTGCTCCTGCTACCCAGGCTTCTACGGGGCGGAGTGTGAGTACGGTAAGGCTGCTGTTGTGTTGGTAAAGCCTTGGCCACTGGGTAAATGCTAGAGAAGTAAATCATGTTGGAGATGCTTCAGACTAGTCTCAGCACCCTCCTTTGTCTGTCTGCTCCATCCAATCATCATTAGACAGTCTGGGTGAAATGACTTTACTCTTATAGAGAACCATCTTCACTCAAGGCAGGAATGGCCGGTCCACATCTGCAACCCTAGTGCTCCTGGAGGCTGAGGCAGGAAATATGACAAGTATGAGTCCAGTTTGGGGAACTTAGAGAGTTAATGAGATCCTGTCCCAAAACAAAAAACAAAAAAGGCCTGGAGATGTAGTACAAGCCCTGGCTTCAATCCTCAACCCCCCCACCAGAATTACTCATAAAATTTCAGACCAAAAGGGCACTAAAAAGGGGCAAGACTGTGAGAACCTTGTCAGGCTAATGTCAATGATTGAAATAAAGAGCAGCAGAAGAATGACTGTTTCCCAAGATGAGATAATGCAAAGGAGCCAAGTAAAAGCGGGCAGCATGGGTTAGACGCTTGGACGAGCGTGGTGAAGGCAGTGATACAGTTACTGCCCACAGTAAATCTGACGTCTTTCAGTCGTCAACATTCTGTCCCCACAGTGAGAGAGTGTGGGGAATTTGGCCTCCCTCCCCACGTGTCCAGGAACTGCGATCACCCCCTGGGCAGCTTCTCTTTCGACTCAAAGTGCACTTTCCACTGCGCTGAAGGGTACACACTGGATGGGCCCAGCGAGACAAAATGCCTGGCTTCCGGGATCTGGACAAACCAGCCTGCGCGGTGTGTGGGTGCGTGAACTTCCTCCTCCCTTCCTTCTTCGCTGCCAATGGGGATTTTACAGGGTGTGGGGACGACCTTTCTTCATCCCAAAACGGGAGGAATAGTGGACTACATTAAACGGACAAGTCTGGTTATCAGTTACTTGTCAACCAGAATAATACAAATTTTTACTGTCGAGGTATTTTGTAACTGCAGGGGTGGTCAGCTTAATGCTTGATTCTCCTTTCCCTTTGTTAATCACAAAGTAAGCAGAGTTGCATGGTGAGAACTTGGGCACTGGATAACGGATTTGACAAATTATCCCTTACTTCTTTAAATGAGAAACAAGGGAGTGTGGATCTTTGCAAATGGTGGTTTAAGATACATCTAAGCACCACACATCTCACTTTGCCTGCCACTCTGGAAGCGAGGCTGCTGCGGTACCCTGAGGGTTCCAAGGCGCTGGGCCTGCCTTGCCCGAGGATTCCCATCACCACTCTTCACTGTGCAGAAGTGTTCCTGCACCGGCCGAAACTTAGCTTCAGTCAGGAAGAGGGGTCCGCAGAGTTGTGTTCTTAGAATCCCAGCACGCTGGGAGGATGAGGCAATTTAGCAAGACTTTGTCACCAAAGAAATTTTTTAAATGTTTTTTTAAATGGCTGGAGATGTAGCTCAGTGCAAAGGCCCTGGGTTCAATCCCCGGTACCAGCAATAAAAGGAAAGCAAGGAGGGAGGGAAGGAGAAAAGGACAGAAGAAAGAAACAAGAAACAAAGAAAGAAAGGAAGAGAAAGGAGGAACAAATGGGACATGGAAAGGACAGAAGGGAAGGAGGGAGGGAGAGGGAAAAAGTGGAGTCGGAGCAATCTGTGCTTTTAGGCAACTCAGGCCACGCAGTGGACAGTTCCCCACATCCGGACACCTGAGGCCTTCTGATCCTTGGGTCTTCCAAGCCCCACTTCTGCTTACACCGCTCTTCGTCTGACTCGGTTTTTCCTCATCCTCAGTACTCTTCCCTTTCTTTGTCCTTGTTGTCCTTTCCAGCTGTGCAGTGTCAGCACTTGGAAGCCCCTGGCAGTGGGACCATGGACTGTGTGCATCCACTGGCCCCCTTTGCATACGGCTCCAGCTGCAAATTTAGGTGCCAACCTGGCTATCGAGTGAGGGGCTTGGACACACTCCGCTGTGCTGGCTCTGGCCAGTGGACCGCATCCTTGCCAGTCTGTGAAGGTAGGAATTTGTTTTAGCAGCTCTCAGTATACCCAAGGAGTCACAGCACAGTAGAAAGTCCATCAGGGTGATCTTTGCTAGGCTTTGAGACTAGAGCCAGGAAATTACTCATCTGTGAAATGGAGCTAAAAATTGGAAGGATTAAGTATATAAAAAAAAAGGGTATATAAAAAAGTTGCATTAAATGGCATGTGCAGAGTACTAGCACAGAGGTGGCACTTGACAGAGTTTAGTTTCTGACTCTTTTCTTCAGCATTTACAAGCTGCAGGACAACATCCTATACCTGAGACAGAATTACAGCAATGGCTATTAAGACAGAGAGAGATTCCCAATCACAGACTTTGGGAGTAGCCTCTGGCAAAGCAGCAAAGAAACACTGCATGAAAAAAGAGCTGTGGTGCAATCCTAAGCAGCTGAACAGTATCACGGAACTGAATTCTGCAATTGCCTTGCACCCTCAACTTATAAGGCAGAAAAGGGGAAGAGGGGAGTAGGAAAACTGCAGATCGGAATTTGTAAATTCTCAGCCTGAAATCATGAGCCCAACTCTGGTATCGCTAGCTATGAGATTTTAGGGGGGTCACTTCATATTTCTGAACTGTACTTTTCTCATTTGTAAAGCAAGAGAGGTACACTAGAGGATCTTCAGTCCTTAAATGTCTCAATTCTATAAAAGCAGAGGTCAGAAGCCAGAGTGAGAGGGGGGTTGTTATGCTCTGCAAAACCCCAAGAACAGCCCAGACCTGAAATGCCTCCAAGAGGAAGCACAGGAAAACAGTATTTTTTTCAGAACCAAGGTCACCCAGAGTACAACAGCTCTCAGGAACTCACTCTGGGCTGTGCTCACTCGGCAAATGAAGTCTAATTAGGATGACATCCTGTGCTCCGAGACAAAGACCTTGGGTATCATTTTACAGTACTGGGCAGCAGTGTCAACAATACGCTACACAACTGCGGCTTCTTCCCTGTAAAGCCAGCCTCTTTGGCACCCACTCTTTCCAGGTCCAGTAAATGCGCCAATCCATATTTAAGGGGCACCTTTGACATACCCGATTCTGCGCCAGGCTCTGGGATAGGACTGAATGACCAACTACAGCCTCGAGGAGACTGTGGGGTACCAGCATGAACAGCAAAGAGCAGGGCTGTGGGAGTGCACGGGAGCAGCTCCTGCCCTCATCAGGGTGAGAGCAAGGGCTTCCTAAGGAGGGTAAAGTCTGAGCTGAGTCCCAGGGCAGGTGAGCGTGCGCCAGGTGGAGGGCATACGGAAGGCAGATTTCCTCTTGGAAAGGGAGGATTCGAGGTTCTGAAGCTAGTGACAATGCAGGTAGGAAAGATGCAGCACCTCCTGGGAGTCTCTTCTGGAAAAGAACCGGACCCAGCTTCAAACCCCCTTTTCCCTTTAGCCATCACATGCAGGCCACTGGAGAGCCCTGTCCACGGGGGCATGGACTGCTCACCGCCGTCCGGAGCGTTTCAGTACAACACCAGCTGCAGCTTCCACTGTGCAGAGGGCTTCATGCTGAGTGGCGCTGATGTCCTTCGGTGCTCCGACTCGGGAGAGTGGACAGCACCAGCCCCAGTCTGCCAAGGTACTGTGACGCGGACACGCTGGGCATCACCGGCTGTGTTGGCACAGCTTATCCAGCGGACATCTGCTGAGAACCTACTCGGGGCCAGGCCCCTTGGGCTCAGCACAAGGTCACAGTGGTGGGCAGAGCCAGGCTCAGTCACAAGGCATTCGCTACAGGGTAGTCAAGGTCAGGGTCTTTGGATTGACAGGGATGGAGAGGGTCGAGGAGACGGAAGTAGGGGAAAGGAACCATGCAGGGGTAGGAGAATGCACAAAGCATTTGGCCCAGGCCTGTCATTCTGGCCCCTCAGCTCCTGGACTCCCTGAGGCTCAGAGTCTTCTGTAAAATGGGGGACACTGTCATTGGCCTTACTTTCCTATCTCACTGGCTGTTGCGCACTAACGTGTAAAAGCAACTTTAAAATGTCTACCAGCTGTGTATATATGAGGGAAATAATGAAGATTCCACTCACTACAAGTCACGTGTGTGATCTGATCTGACAGAATGATTATCCTCTTTCAATTTTTCAGTATTCACGTATTCAAGGTTTGTTCTTACACAAGAACTACAGCACAGGGAATTCACCGGGATTATTTATAAAGAGTACCCCACACAGTCTAGTATAATATTGGCATTTTATGCTGCCATTTACCGAGACTCCTCGGTGATTTATGAGTGCCCTGGTCTACATCTACCCTGATTATAAAGGAAGCAGGGTTTTGACAAAGAGTCTTGCTGAGATATTTGTACACCCATGGTCACAGCAGCGTTACTCTCAATAGTTGAGACGCGCAAGCCACGCAAGTGAAAAAGCAGTAGATGAATGGATAAACAAATGTGTCGGACAGAATGGAATGATATCTGGCCTTAGAATGGAAGAGAATTCTGACACAAGCTGCAAAAACAGATGAACTTGAAGTACATGATACTAAGTGCAATGAACCAGCTCCCCCCAAACAAGTAACAAATGATTGTACTTAAAAGGGCTTATCACAAAATACAATGTGTGTGTTAGAAAAAAGCAGTAAGACACATTGGCATTAATCCTCCTCAGCATACTTCCCCTTACTTCAAGCTCACTTATACTATCGTCCTTCGTATTTTCTGAAAGAGTTTTGGGAGTTCTCTTTTGTGAGTGTCTTTATGAGATGTGATAGAAAGAAATCTTGTGACTGCTGCTGCCTCGTGCCATCCAGCGGAAAGACAGGCTTGTGAAACTGCGAGTGTGTGTCCTCATCCACCTTAATTCATCAGATCTGGCACTGTGCGACTTCTGCCTCTTCCTGAAAGTCAAAATGACCATGAAAGTGAACATTTTGAATCATTCAGGACATTGAGGCAGCCACAACAGCACAACTAAAGACACTCCGGGAAGAGGACTTAAGATGCTAGAATAAATATTTTGGAAGCAAAGCGGAGTATCCTGAGAGGGGTTAACAGCAATGTGTCTTTTACTGTAACACATTTTTTAAAAATTTAATAAATGTTCACTGCATTTTTCTACTGCAACTCCGAGACATGTCCTCTCCATACGTGAGCATCCACATCCATTTTATGTGTTTTAGATCATGCTTATGCTGATTATTTTTATTTCACTTTTTCATTTAACATCATACATTGAGGTATTTCCCCTGTCTTTCCCAAGGGAAATATATAATTTTCAGAGACCATTCATATTATTTTTTATAGATCACTATAATTGATTTGCAGCCCTAGATTAAGTGATACATGCTTGTTTTCAATATTTTGCTCTTACAGATAATATCCTGATAAAAACCCTGAATTGATATTTGGCATTCATCTTTATTATACTTAGCAGAGATTCTTGGGTTCAAAAGCATAATTCAAGAATTACTGATAGACACACATTGCCAAAACACTCACTAATGACTCAATACTTTCTTTATAAAATCCTCCATTTAATGATATATTTTTAATCTTCCAAGTTAAACAAATCCACCTGAGGAGGCCATGTTCTTGACACTAGAAAAGATCAATGTGTCAAAACCTACAAATACTTGTGTACTGCTGTTCCCTCACCCTGGATTTCTTCACCCCTCAGCTTTGCGGTGCCAGGATTTCTCTGCTCTGAGCAAGGTTCAGATGAACTGCTCCCACCCATTTGGGGCCTTTAGGTACGGGACAGTCTGTGACTTTACCTGTGCTGAAGGTGCGCTCATGGTGGGAGCAAGTACACTACAGTGCTTGGCTACTGGACACTGGAGTGCTGCCCCTCCAGAATGCCAAGGTAAGAGGACACCCTTTCCAACCTCTTAGAAAAATTGGAAGCAAAATTCTTAAAGGCTGTATTTTAGAGATGGTAACTGTGTAGATATACCTTGAAATGGGCTGGAAAATGAATAAATTCTTTAAGTCATCCTTTTCTATTATAACTCAAGGATCCCAACTGCAAATGTCCTAAGAAATGAAGCAGGTAACACTAGTCTCAGGATGTTCATTCAGGGTGCTGAGTGACATGGCCCTTGCCAACTCTTTCTCAAGGTCGTTTACCAAGACCAGAACATTCTTAGCATAAAGTAAATAAACTGCACTTACTGGCTAAAAATAGTATCTGGAAAGAAGGAGGAAAAAAGTTTTGAGGTGCTTGTCCCAGTGCTGAACTGGCACTTTCTTTCTAGGAGACATGGGGAGGAACAGTGGAAGGGGAGGGGAGGAGTTTACAGGCATCTCAATGAAACGTACTCTGAGATCTATCCGTATAACACTGGAGAAACACACTTAGGATAAAGCAGCGGTGATGGAGAGAGAAGGAAACTACTCCAGAAACTGGAGGCCTCAGGATTCGCGTAACGAAGAAACAAATAGATTAAACGTATCTGTATTTGATCAATGCAATAGGTCAAATGCATCTGCATTGCATTTGCTATTTAGAAGCCAGTGTATTATGTCAATATTGTAACATCCTGTATGAAACAGAACTGGTTCTCAACATCCATGGGTAGATGGATGTTTTTATATTCTCCACTCATTTCTCCTACTCAATTATCCAAGCTTTAAGTACATTTAAGGCAAATACTTATTGTTTTACAAAGCAAGCTTTTCATTTACAAAATCCACAGAAAGATAAGAACATAGAAAAATGAAGAATATTCTCTTAAATATCTCCACCCTCACACATTCAGCATTCTGGTATGAATTCTTCACCCCCCCCACCACACTATATATATGTATATAGATATATATATTCTCCAATTTTAATCACAACACTGGGTAAAAGATAAAATATTTCTGCATGATTTGCCATAGCTTTCACTTTGTACAGACTTTAACCACTGAGTGAAAGCAGGAGGATTCATGTTTTCTAAGAAAAGGAAACCACTTGCTATGTGGGTCACACTAGTCAATGTATGCACACACAAATGCTCGCGCGCACACACACACACACAGTAGGTCCTCACACAGTACGTGAATATATAATTGAGTTAATTAATGGACAAATGGGCAGATGAGCTCAGCAGAATGGGACGTCTTCCATCCAAGCCACAGGGTTGGGGAAGGACCTAGTGCTGGGTCTAGAGAGAACTGGTGGGGCTGTGACCTTGTCCCTCATCTCCCTCCTGGCCACAGTGAAGCCTGGCTTTGTGACAAAGTCCACGCAGCCCTGGGGAAGACTGGGAGTCACCAGGAAGGTTATCACAGGGATGGGAGCCCTTCCAGGAAATGCTAGCTGTGCAGGGTATGGATTACTCCACAATGCCCTGCCTGTAACATTTCACAGAAACGTGGTTGCCACCACCCCAGCTTCCTGTGCCCTTCCAGTACCCTTCTTCTTTCAGCTCTTTGTTTACTCTGATATTTCACCTCCTTTTTCTGGGTGTGCATCAAGTGCAATACCCAAATGTGGTCTGCACAGGAAGGGACATGAGGCTTTGCAATCCACTTGCTGGCTGTTGTAACACTCCTGAGAGTGTTACAATTGTCACTGCCTCCACCCCACCACTCCACCCTACCCCTCCACCCTCACCCGGGCTGGGCAAAGGCAAAGCCACGAAAGCCAATCCACCCTGAACATGCCCAGTCTCATCTGATCTTGGAAACTAGGCAGGGCCGGGCCTGGTTAGTACTTGGATGGTAGAGGAATGTAGCTAGGATGGGCAAAGGAAGGGAAAGATACATAAAATGCTCTCAAAACATTGTGTCATTTAGTTAGTGGTTGAAGACTGGTCCTAGGACAGGGATACCACACTGTCTCTGGCCTGAAGCCACACCTCGTCAACCAAGACAAACAATGACAAAGAGATATCTGAAACCAGATGTTCAATTACTCTTTACTCTCTAACGTCAATATGCTTAATCTGAGCTTTACTGTTTCATTCATTGGTAGAGGCACAGCTGGACAGTATTAAAATATGCATTACAAGTGTTTTTACTTTTGATCCTAGAAGAATCTGGGAGCTATGTAATACTATTTTCCCTATTTTGAGACCTTGAAATTCAGGAAGGTTAAGTGAGTTGCCAAAAATCACAGAGTGAGTATGATTCCCCAACCCAAGCAAGGCCCCTAGCAACTAAAACTTTATGTTTTCAAACTGTGACAAAAACAAAACAAACAAACAAACAAAAAAACCTATGAGACCTAAGTTAACCTCTTTGGTAAGTGAACAAGTGGAATCTTTGCGACTAGGCACTGCAGGGCTGAACTGTTGAGAAGAGAGGAAAATTAATATCTGAAGACAGTGGGTGAATTATGAGCCCACTTGTGGTCAAGATTTCTTATTGCACTTTAAATTTAATTTTTATGTAGATTAATTAACTTGTTATATAGACAGCTAACTCTACCTGCAAGGCAAAGATTTTAATTTTTCCTTTGTCAAAGATGATGTAACCGAGACACATTTCTAGCAAGTAACAATATGGGCCCAGATTCTTCACACCATCTGGTTGGTGAGAGGGGAGAAAGTAATTCACCCATTTTTCTGTTTCCATTCATAAACTGTTTTCTGGTCGGGTCCCAAGGCCTGTCTGAAGGAGGCATCAGGGGGGAAACCTCTTCCACGCCTGACCAGGGCAGCCAAAAGAAGCTGCACCACTCTCTCTCTAAACACAGCTCCAAATGCTCCCTAAAATCCGCTTCTGAGCTCTCAGTGGGTGGCATTTCTGAGCATCAATCAACTGTCACCCTGCTGCCTTAGAGTTGCACAACCTCTACCAGGAGGCAGCACTGGGAACACTCACCTTTACCCAGTGCTGCTGCTCTGTGTCCTGAGGAAGGCTCTCTCCCCACCTCACCCCCATCAGCGTCGGGCTGTAGAGTACTAACCCGGCCTTTTCTCTCCCCTGCCGTGCCCTCTGCAGCCACTCCTTGCACCCCCTTGCGAGGGCCCCAGAACGGAACGATGAGCTGCATCCGACCTCTCGGGAGATACAGTTACAAATCCACGTGCCACTTCACCTGTGATGAGGGCTTTTCCTTATCGGGCTCCGAAAGACTGGACTGCGCTCCAACTGGACAATGGACAGGCTCCCCACCAACGTGCACAGGTAGGTTCTGGGTCTGTTTCTTCTTACAGCCTAGCAGGCTACTCTGCAGGATGCAGCAGGCTCAGGGAGTCATAGCAATGTGTTATTGAGCTAAAGCATGGCAATACAGACCAAGGTGTGTGTGTGCGTGTGTGTGTGTGTGTCTGTCAGTCCGTCTGTCTCTGTCTGTCCCCGTCCCTATCTCTGTCCCTGCCTCTTTCCTGAAAAATCTTTTAATACATCGCGATAAACATTCCAGTTTTATGAAGTACTTTCACATCACCATCACCCACAATGTTCACCACAATTATGAAATTATGAGGAAAGCATCACCTCCATTTCATAGATGAGGAAGAAACAGGCTCAGATGGCTTAGGTCATTTGTCCAAGGTCACACCGAAAGCGATAAAGCTCAACAGTTTCACTGAAACTTTTATTTTGCTGTACAGTCTTTTTCTGCTCCACCATTGGTTTGTTCATTCGTTCACCCACTTTTACTGAGCACTAAGTCCCACACACTAAGCCTTTCAGGGTGGGTGTGATTTAATCATGGACTCACTCCAATGCTAACTCTGTCCTCCACTTCTCTGTGGATTACAAAGCACCTGAGGATGCAAGTTGTTCTTCCTTCATCTTTACATCCTCTGCGGCAGACAGAATAAAAGTGGCACTGGACAAACATCTCTTCTATTAAAGCTTATCGTTTACCTTAAAAATTCCTCAAGCATAAGCCCCACAGACCATGCATTTGTGGAGTCCTCGAAGGCAGGGGTGGATCTCGTCTGTCTTTATCTACCCGAACACCTGGCCAGCAGAGTATCTAGCTTAGTGCATAGTCTGACGTACCTCCTCTTTGGATTCAAAAGGCACCATTGTTCCAATGCGGTCTTCAGTGTCGCCAGTAATAAGAATTACTGTGGAATTAACAGAATTAACAGAATTAAACAAGAATTAGGTGGAATTAACAGCTAACATTCATTGCTTGTGCAGGACCAGCTGTTTCATGTGAATTTTCACATCCAGTCCACACAATCGTTCCTCCCATAGGGTGGTTACTATTGTATCCATTCTGAAGATGAAGAAACAGGCTTCGAGAGAATAAGTAGCTGGCAAAGGCACACAGCTAGGAAGTTATGAGGGCGGAATTCAAACCCGGGCCTGTGTACAGGATGTGTTCACCATTGCACTACACTGCCACCCAGTGGCAAGGCGTCTAAATCCTGGGACCGTGGCTTGTCAATTTATATTTCCGTTACACAGACTGCAGCCTTAACTGCTAAAGTCAACCTTAGCAAAGGTGCTGTGCGGGAATCACATTATGTCAGGGGAAATTTATTAGTGCAACAAGCACCACATTAATATCCCAAGACCTGTATCGCTCTCCCTGCCCCCACCTTCACGTGGCATTAGGAAGGTTCTGTCGCTCTCTTACGCTTCAGTTTTCTAAATTAAAAAAGAAAAAAAGTAGGTGTGGGCAAGGTCGTCTCTGAGGCCTCCTTCCTGGTGAAGAACTCTGCAGGGCAAAAGGCACAGAATGCTTCCATCTGCTGTGAAAAAGAGTTTCAAGAGAAGCCACCCCAGAAATGTGGACCTTTAGGGCCTGTGCTCCCCTGTTCATTCATTCACCCCTCTCTCCGATTCACTCATCCCACCAGCACTTATCAGGGACTCTATCATCTGAAATTCTTCTGTTCTAAGGCTAAAGAATCAGAACTCCCTAAAGACATCTCATGAAAGCGTTGTCATCGATGCAAACAGTACAGTTGCTAAATCCGTAATCTCTGGAGCCCCAGTTTCCTTTCACTTCTGTCCAGTCTTCTTTTCCCCACAAGCAGTGGCTTTGCCTCTCCTCCGTGGGCCCAGCCACCTCAGCCCTTCCCAGCAACTAGAACCGACCTTGACCATGGGCAGCATTGGCAGCCAAAATGGATCTCAGAACTTGCACCTTTATCCTGATGATGAGATCAGGGTTTTTTTCACCTGTATTCCTATCTCATCTTCCAAATGTACGCTCTAGATTTTGGTACATGCCTGTTCTTTTTTCCATACATCTGAGTCCTTGGATTTTTTTTAACCCTCAGCCCCACCCTCAGCAATCATCTATTATGACAATTTTGAGGAGAAACTGGGGTTGATAAATTAGAAATTCTTATATTCATCCACCTGGCATTTGGTTGTTGAATGCCCCCGTCCCAGAGATCCTGCAATGTGAATTATAGGCAAGCAGGACTAAGGGCTCTGGGGCTATAGATGCTTTCTGTCCAGCCCCAGAGGAAAGATATGAAAATGACATGGGAGCAGATGTGCGCAGCGGGGAGTTCCAGCTGTGGTGATGAGCACTGGCTTTGGAGGGACTACGATGAGTTAGATCTAATGGAAACGGAAGACACTCGGGGCAGTGTGAGCCAAGGACACACCTGGTCAGCTGGGACACCCCCAGAGCTTAGCTATCTTGATCAGGAGTTCTGAGCTTTCTTGTGCTGTGGGACTGTGGTAGAAAAACCAGCCTAAACATGCACAGAGGAACTGGTTCTCTGCATAAGGTGATCATCGGAGTTCTTAAAGTATTGAGTTTGAGGAGAAGGCTGGATGTCCTAGGGGAAGTGACCTCAGGGTGATGGAAAGGCAGACGTGAACTTCTGGAGTGTAACCATCTGGATAACACAGTAGAGCTGCAGAAGGCTGTCAGGTCTCTGAAGCAGAGCGTGGAGACAGAAAGAGGATAAAGTTGTGAATCCCAACATATCACTGCTTAAATCCTCAACTCCCTTCTCTTTATGACATCTCTATGCTCTGAACTCTAAGGCTTCCCTCATAGTAAATGACCTGTTCTATATCATGGAATTCCAGATGCTTAGCAAAACACCTGAAATATAGGTGGGCACTAAATATGTAGCAAATGTATGAGTGAATGAACACTGTGAAACATAGAACCTCTGAACAAACGCGGAGAGTGAGACACTCTCGATTTGATATTGCAGCCATCAAGTGCCCAGAACTCTCTGCCCCACAGTGGGGCAGCCTGGACTGTTCTCAAGCTTATGGAGAATTCAGTGCTGGCTCCAGATGCCATTTCTCCTGTGACCAGGGCTTTAAGCTGGAGGGGTCAAACAATGTGGAATGCACAACTTCTGGAAGATGGTCAGTGCCTCCGCCAACATGCAAAGGTAATAAGAGAAGTTTGCTGGGGCTGTTTACTCTTGGGAATTTTTTTCTGCAAAGATAAAAATCGTTTGCGTAGCTCTAATATATGATGGGTACATATTATACTATCACTTTGGTACAGCAAACACAGCCTGTGTGTTCAAAGAATTTCTAAGACGAGACAGGGCTTTTTCTATGTTTGTAAATAAAAGGCTAATTCTCACGCAGAAATTTGGTTTCACTTCTTTAACTTCTTTTGCTCAACTTTATTGGGCGAACTGAATGCTGTCCACTATATTGCTTCTTATGCTGAGGCCTAAAAAAATTATGCCTAAAATCATGTCAAGGATTAATTTTTTCAACTGAGAGACACAGGAGTCCATTGTCATGTTCCTGCCACATGGCAAGTTAAGGACAAAGCCAGTGGCATCATTCACATTTCACCTTTCAGGTTGACTTCTGGCCAAAGAAGAGTATCACCTCTCAATGTAATGGGGGAGAATAGGTGATCAGCCTCTGCAAATGTGGCATTTTTCTGGGTTGCTGCGTTTCTGTACCAACTCTTCTGCTGCCTCTTTTTAAGAAATGGTAATAATGATCTTCTGTTTCTCCTTCTAGGCAGCATAATCATTTCTTCAAGGACACTTTTTCCTCTCTGGTTTTTCATACCCAAAATTAATAGATAATAGTTTTTCATAACTTGTTGCTAGCATGTCCCTTGTTAGATAGGAAAGGAGTGCAGGCAATTACTCTGTATTAGCCATTGAGTTGGTCATTCTCCTTTTAATTGAGTGCTAATTGAAATATTTTCTCCCCCGACAGCTGTAGGGTCAGCTCCTGTTCCAGCAACGCAATGTCCAGCCCTCACCACTCCTGCGCAGGGGACCAAGTTCTGCAAGAATCACCTAGGAACCTTTGGTTGGACCACCACTTGCTCCTTCGGATGCAAAGCTGGATTCACACTCGCTGGTGACGACATTCTCAGATGCAAGGCTTCAGGACAATGGACAGCGGCGACCCCGGAATGCCGAGGTAAAGTCAAGGGCCCAGTTCAGAAGCATTCGGCCACATAGGATACTCACCTGTTGAAATCCCAGCAAATCCAGCAACCACAGCAAATGTCGCATCCTCCATGAAACTCCGCGCATCCCAGGCACAACCAATGGGCAGCAGGCTTAGCACCTGCCCTTCTTCCTGCTTCTGCCCTGGTACCCAAAAACCTGGAGAAAACTTATACTGATGTCTAAAGTGTGTTAGAACATGATGGACACGAAACTGTACTAATTGTGAAGTATAAGTTGCAATTTTTTAGTTAGGTGACAGTATAAACATTCTAATAATAGAATATGCAATGTCATATTCTAGTAGCTAAATAGTTAAATCCTTGTAATGCCTCTTGGGACTTAGTTCCCAAACATGGAGCGTCCAGCCCCATGTCTCTTTTTCCTTCCCATTTCCCCAGCAGCACACTCAGAGCTCTACAGATGTCACTGCTGCTCAATAATATTTATGTGAATTAATAGAATTTCCTGAGCTTTACTGTCCTATCCATAAAGGAGAATTATATGCAGTTGCCTGAAAAATAAAGATAATGGTCTCTACTTCTTTCCAACTGTCAGTGTCCAGATGAACGAGAAATGTTTATGAAGCATTTGAATAATCACACACTGGCCTGCCAGTTAATCACCAATGTATTAATAATGACACTCAGAAGACTGGTATTCCTGGAGAGGCAAGATAGTATATATAAGTAGTATTTTTGGAGGCAAGATCAATACATTAGCAGATATTTACTGGATGCGAATCTGTGTCCATCCCTGATTTTTGGCCAGCATTCTTTGAGTGGTTACTGTCATATGTGTGATACTGGAGGGGCTGATGTTAATATGTCAAGTGGCTAATTTCCTATCTGACCTTTATATTTTCCTTTGGCTACTGCCACAGTCTGGTTGCAAATGGAACCATAACCTCTCATTTGCCTTCACTCTACATGATTGTTTCTCCTGCATTCTTTTTTCCTGCAGCCATCAAATGCTCTGAACTGCGCATTAATAATGCACTGGTGATGAACTGCTCCAATCCCTGGGGAAAGTTCAGCTTTGGCTCAGACTGCAGCTTCCATTGTCCAGAGGGGCAGTTACTTAACGGATCCACAAGAGCAACCTGCCAAGACAACGGCCACTGGTCAGCCACCGTGCCCACCTGCCAAGGTACGAGCCTCTTGTCTTGGAAGCCACCTCAACTCAGAAACACAAAATCAGTGTTTCTTCTCTGCGTATTTCTCACAGGGAACTTCCGTTTCATCGCTGGGTTTCCCTTTGATTAATAAATGTTTCATAATGAGTCAGATAGAACCTTCTTCTTGTACAAAGCACTACTTCAATCCAGTGACTCTACACAGACAAATGCCACTCTTTTTAGTGCTCAGATTTATGAGCCTTCTCTCTTCTTTATTATCTCTGTTAAACACATCTTGAAGTTTCAAAATGTGTTACACTGAGAGTTTTTTCTTGAAAATCCCTAATTTATTATCCCAGAAGACTTCTGATGACCACCCATCTCTAAAAAATACCACAAATCTTCCTTAATTATGCTGTCTGCAAGCTCTATCTCAGCCCCCAGCTTCTCCTGTTTTTATTCCCTCGAAGCTTGTTATGACTTTCTGCTGCATACCTCAGCCTTTCATTGCCAAAAAATTTACCCATGCTTTATTTCCTCAAACTGCCATATGCAGATTTTTTGTGTGTGTGCCTACAAATTAATTCCTTTATTGGGTCCTTACCCTGACTGGTTCAGAAATCACATTTGCTAGTTAATCCTAAGGAATACAGCCAGGCCCTACTTTCTACTCTGTTGCAATGGGTGTCTGGTTTCCAGATTCTCTTTCATGCCAGATGACAGCATGGGCGGGATCTCTGATGATCCTACTTGATCTCATGCCTCAGAGTTCTTGGGACCTTTCTGGGAATGACTGGTCTTCCTCAAAGACACTTCTTATCCCTGATCTTATTTGTGTCTTTCTCTTGTAGGGGGGGCACTGACTACTCGGGAAGCCCTGACTTACTTTGGTGGGGCAGTGGCTTCCACAACAGGCCTGGCCATGGGCGGGACTCTCCTAGCTCTGCTAAGAAAGCGTCTCAGAAAAAAAGGTAAATAGTCTTCCTCTTGCTTTCTTTTTTCATGTGACAAACTTTAGTAGTATTTTGTGTTTGGAAACATTTTCTGGAAAGCAAACAAGGCCAAGGTAAAATGATCTAGAGGACGGACTGCCCATTGGAACCTCCTGGAAAGTTTACAAACACACGGCTCTTTCTATAGGGAGATTTGGGACTAGGTCTATAAATCTGAATGTTTCAAAGAGCTGCCCTCAAAATTCTGGTGAGATACTTTTACAGGTTAGTATTTGGGGTTCTCTGGAATGGCCAAAAGTGATCAAAGAAGTGTCGTGATTCCTGCCCTCACTCATCCCCTCAAGCAACAGCTATTTATAGATTAGTCTGATAGCCAAAGCGACCTATTGTGATGGTTCTTGCCATCAAGGAAGATATAAGCCAGTAGTGGAGATGGACAAGTTAAATTAGTGCACATACTAAAGAGGGGTAAGAGTGTGATTACAAAAATATGACCTGGTTATTCCTGGAACACAGAAGAGGGTGGCTAAACCAGACTGCTAGGCCAGAGTCTCAAGCTTAGCCCCAAAGAATGAGAGGGATCTGGCCAATGGAGGAAAAGGGAAATAGCAGTCCAGTAAATAAGATGCCGTGTGGAAAGTCATAAAAGGGTGAGATATCTGGGAGAATGGTTGAACAGTTCAGTGCATCTGAGTTCAAAGGGGCTTAGGGAGGAGGCAGGCAAGAAAGTGAGAGCTGCTTGGTGGAGAGCAGCCATGATAACTCAGACAGCTGCATCCTTTCCAGCACGTGTGCAGCTGATGCGGGATGTAAGCGGGCAAGTGACCAAATGGAGGGAAACTGTTCAGCAGAACAAAGTTGTTTTTGTTTTGTTTTGTTTTGTCTAGAAATGATAGAAGGGAACTACTCATCCCTTGAGGTCTAAAGCATCCTTTCTAATCTGCTGTGACATCTAGCTAGCCCATAATTTCACAGACTTGTCTAGGAGATGGGATGGCCCTCGTCTTTATTACTCCTCCTGACAAGTAACTGGGGGAGGGGAAGTAGAGAATGAGGGTGTGCTGTGTACATGCAGGAACTTCCCACGATGAATGTAATCACCATGTACTACAAACAGGTACTAACACACATAGAAGAAAAAGAAAAAATGTAACTAAGGACACCGGAGGGACAATGGATGCTGAAATCCTGGTAACCAAACAAGGCTATGTTGAAATACTTGATTGAATTCAAGAATTGCAACATCTGTTCTTGCTCATCAGAGTCAGGAACATGTATTTATTCTTCTTCTCATACTCCATTCACAAAGCTACCATCACAATGGGGCTGTTTACCCTCTCTCCTGTGAGTGGGCATCCGAGACAGCAGCCAATGGGACAACACGCTGCTTAAAGACCAGAGAGGCAGATTAAGACCTACACTTCATGCCTCTATGCAAAATTTCTGTTTGCTTAACCACATCCAGGAGGCAGAGTGCCTAAAACCTGGATCCTAATCATAATCATGTAGAAGTCACACTATTTCCTTCTGTTCACTCTTCCTTCCCTCCCTCCCCCCAAGCTCCCTCCC